TAGATGTTCACTGAAATGAAAAAGAAATAAATTAATAAATAAAAAAAAAGAAGTTCCTATAGTTCATGCTTGGAAATCGGAAGAAAAAGCAAGCAAAGTAAAATCTGGCTCAACTGGAGGAGAGTATTTAAAAGATGATGGGGAAAAAAAAACCCAGAAACAAGAGATATAAAATGTTAAGAGGTATTAAAAAAATAAAAAGAGGTTATTCACCTGATGTTGAGATTATAAATTATTTTTTCTTCTATTGATTATGTGTGTGTGTGTGTGTATAAGCTGTTTTTTAAAAATTTATTTTATTTTATTATTTTTTTGTGCATGTATCGTCAAATCAGATCTGACCGGTACAGGAGGAGATTGTCCCTCCGTCTCCAGTAGAGCATCTGGAGGATTCAAATCGTGTACCTCTGGGATTGCAGTGCAGCTTCTTGCCACTGGGCCACCATAAGCTGTTTTTAAATGTAAGTGAATATACATTGTTGTAGTAAGAAACGTCTTACTTTTCCCAAGATACAGCTGGCTAGCAAATTACTTATATATAAGAGGTACTGTCTATGTTCTACAGGAAAAGGCTATTCTCAAATTTTCATTCTTAAAAAGGCTGCTATGATAATTATCTTTTAAAATGAATATCCTTTATATGCAGTTGTTTCCTTAGGATGTATTTTCATTGTTAGAAATATTAGTTTAAATGCATTATACATTTTTAGGATTCTTGACGTATAATGCCAATGTATTCCTAGAAAGGCCTACAATTTGTAATTCCATTGAGAACTCTTAAGAAATCCTTTCTCATCAAATCATAGTTTCAAGATTTTTCTCTATGCATCTGATATAGATACATGAAGCTAAAACGACATAATTAAATGGGATGCTGCAGAAGAAATAAAAACCTTAAGCATTTTACTATGCCTTCAAATGGAAGAGGTTTAATTCTCAGATACGTACAATTCAAATTAGGCATGCATTTGCTTTAACTAGTTACTGTAATTAAATCCTATTATTCTGAGCTCAGCATGAGTGTTATTGAAAATGTTAAAAGTTGGCTCTAATTTTTATTGGCATTAATTTTTAATTTCTTTTTTTCTCTTTTTGCGACGCTCGCATCCTCAAGAAAAGCATTCACCAGAAGAGGATCAAATAACCATTAGAAAAGATGCTTCTTCATATCTTTATAATTGAAGCTCTAATAAGAAATTCATAAAGTGAACAATATTCTCCTCTTTAATTATTAAAAATAAGTCCTAATTTACAGTTTATCTGATCAGTCATTGAAAAAAAAAACCAACAAAATGAAAAATATAAACAATTTTTACTGTATCTGTAAATATAAATAGATATCCATGTGCTTTGAAATGCCAATGAGTCAGTTCCTGTTCTTAACAGCCCTGCAAAATAAAACAAAATCCGGGTGGATCCCGAACCATGTGTGTGTATACACACAAGCATGTACGTATGTAAATTTTATGTATATACATATACCTATAAATTATATATTATATTCACATATAGAAATACAGATATACATACGTACACATGCACACGCACAGATACATTAACTGTTCTAACCCTATTACACTTTTTCCAAGATAGAAAGCAGCTTAAGTATTTTTCCTAATAAATGAATACAGTACATAAATGTACAATCAGGCACCAAAATGAAGAAATGTTCCGAATTCAGGTGTGTAATTTGATTAAAAGTGGTGATGACAACAGTGGGCTCAAGTATATCAGAGGTGATGAGGATGGCACAGAGTAGGGCAGGGTTCAGACCCATTTTTCATAGGGTCGCTATGACTTGTACTTGATGGCACTTAACAACAACAATTATAAGAAGACAAGAAAACTTTAGAGGCAGGACACAAAGGCAACCACACTGGGGTCAAAGAAGGCTATTCTGTGGTGTTTCTCTGATGCTCACTGCCTCACTCAGAGCCTTCAAGTTGGAACTGACTCAGGGCTGATCCTCTTCTGGGTTCTGGAGGCTGTAAATCACACGAGAGGAGACTGCTCATCTTTCTCTCAAGGAGTAGCTGGTGGATTTAGTCTGCTAGACAGGTGCTGACATGGAGTTAGCAGCAAAACTCCTGGCAGTCTAACGATATATTCACTATAAATATATTCGCTATAAACCCGTAAAACATGCACTGTATGCTCACACATGTGATACAGAGTCAACCCTTGAAGATGACACATGAAATGCTAGCATTTAAAGAAGGACTTCAAAGCATTTATGTCATCTGTGATAAACATATACCCTACCTTCAGCAGGCCTTGTACAAAGAGCCCTGACTCATATTTAAGTGATGATTCAGCTTCACATAATCTGGAGCATTTTCTCTCTGCTGGAGTCAGAAAAAGGCATAATGTTCTCACTATCTATAAAATAAAAGAGCTTAGCATTAAAATATGAAGTAAAAAGGCCATTATTTAGAAAATAAATTGGAATAGAAATTTCAATTGTTACTGTCAATATATACATTCTGAGAACAAGTATTCCTTAATGACCTAATATCTTTCACAGTTAAAACTGCTGCTACTTAAAACAAAGACTTTGAGGTCAAATAAACTTGGGAATTGCCTTGTAAATTTACTGTAGGATTTATCAAAGTTTTAGCACTGGAATATATGACTTTTCAAGACAATGCTACAGCATGCAACTTTCTCAACTTTATTTAAACATGCTACCCTTTATTTTGGTGAGAAACAGTGATCTAACACATCACTAACTGCATCTATACCTAGTAACAAATGGCTTTCAGACAAGCAAACAATTGTGGGCAAGAAAATGAAATGAGTTTAGCAAGACAGAATTATAATTTCTGTTTGGTAGTAATAGTTTCTACACATGTAATCTCATCATAATGAATATCAAGGAGTAACAAATCCTTCTATAAATGAGCACCAATTTTACCGAGTTTTAAATAAAGAGGCTCTTGACTGTTAGGGCTTACAAACTTCTGCGTCTAAGAAGATTCAATCTTTAACTTTATTAAAAAAACATAAAAAAGTCATGTAAGTATATTAGAATTTAGGCTATGTCCAGGAGTTATTATAATAATACTGTGGTTTCCAGCCGAGAGGAGTGGCAACTAATTTCTCAAATGAAAAAGATATCATTTGCGTAACTCTGTTGAAAGGGGCAGGGAATGAGGAGAACACGGAATACAGAGCCCCAACCACTGAGCATCTCATCCCCTATAATGCAGACTGAGCATTACCTCTGTAGATTCCTAAGGCTTTGGGGTTAAGTAGGTGGAAAGCTGCCTTTAAGGGTAACAGATAGAAATGAAATCACTCGTTACTAGATGAATATAATGATAGAAATATGTAGCATCTCCACAGAGTACATGTTCCTGAATGATTATAAAAGAAACACAATGCCGGTAAAACCAAAATTCTTGTAAGTGAACGGGTTTGCTTATTGTTTGAAAAGAAAGTATATTATGAATATGTTCGTAAGGCAAATAAGTACCGTCAATTTATTTCTTGCATAAATTTACAAAAAAAATTTGAATTACTCTATGCCATCCAGACAATCCTGGACTCATGGCGACCCCATATGACAGTGAACACTTGCCCCACAGTGTTTTTTGGGTGACACCTAAATCTCAGCAATCTTTATAGAAACAGACTAACACTTTCTTTTGTAAGGCCATGTAGGTTCAAACCACTAACCCTTTAATTATCAGCCAAGGATATAATGTTTGTGCCACCAGAGAATCTTCTTTAAATTAGTTTTGAGAATCTTCTTTAAATTAGGGTGGAATGTTGACTCACTAATGGGTGTGAGATAATGTGATTTGGCCTCCTTTTTACAAACACATTTGGTCAGCAGTATGGGGCTGGCATCCAGTTTGGAAGTTGTCTGCAGCAGCCAGATTATACAGAGGCTTGTTTGCTGGTTCTGGTGAGGATTAGGGTGGAAGGAGGAAAGTTAAACAAGTGTTCAGGTCTTTTGTTCATAGGGTCGTCCATAGGGTCGCTAGTCTATGACTCAATGGCACTCAACAACAACAACAGCAACAACAAAATTGATAGATGAGGATCCTAGTAGTTTAAATAGTTAAGCACTTGACTAATAAACAAGACTGCTAATTTGAAGCTACCTAATAGCTTGAGGAAGAAACACTTGCTGATTGCTCCTAAAGAATGTTGTTGTTGTTGTTGTTGTGTGCCATTGAGTTGCTTGTGACTCATAGCAACACTATGTACAACAGCCCTAAACCCTGCTCTGACCCTTGCCAATCTTATTGTCTCCAACATGTCCATCCCCATTACCCCAGTGTCGGAATCAATCCATCTCATAAAGATTATAACCTAAAAAAAAACTTCTATGGGTTCTCCTTTGTCACATCGTATCAGAATGAATCAAAACTAACTCAATGACACCTAATAACAACAAATTGAAACATAATATGCACTTATCTCTGATTTTGTATATTAATGGCTAGTGAGGAAAAGTATAAAACCCCTTGGTTTAGAATGCTTGGAAAGAGATTAATTCACCTAACATAGAAGGGAGGGGTCACAAATATTAATACATATAAAAAACCAGAAAACCTGTGCAGGCTGCTCTATAAAGATTTATACTTTTCTACTCCTACGAGTCGTACTAGACAGTAGTAGGGTGGCGGTATAAAAATACAAGGTTTTCTTCACATTTATTAAAGACAATATAAGAAAACGCAAGACAAATAGATTTAAAAATATTTCATTTTAAACTCCTTTAAACCATTTATATATAACTGAGATGAGGATTTATGAGTTAAAAAATGTTAAACAACTTCATATCTAAAAGTTTATTTTAAACTTACTTCCCCACAGGCTGTCACAGTAATTTATATTCCTCTCTATACTATTTGCAATTGCTTGCTATGCATCAGAGAGCTGGACAATAACTAGGGAGGATAGAAAGAGAGTTGATGCCTTTGAGCTGTGGTGCTGGAAAAGAGTATTGAATATACCATGGACTGCTAGGAGAACAAGCAAGTTCGTCCGGGAGAGGGTGAAACCAGGCTGCTCCTTGGAGACAAGGATCCTGAAGCTTTGTGTGACATACTTTGGGCATGTTGCAAGGCGGGATCAGTCCTTGGAGAGGGACGTCATGCTTGGAAGGGTGAGGGACAGCTCAGGAGAGGAAGACCCTCGATGAGATGGATTGATTCAGTCACTGGGGCAATGGGGATAGGTGTGTCTGAGACAATAAGATTGGCAAGGGATAGAGCAGGGTTTAGGGCTATTGTGCATAGGGTCACTATGAGGTACAGGTGACTTGACAGCACATAACAATAACAACAACAACAATTAAAGATCTTAACTGCCACCGATCCTTTCAATTAGTTTATGCTATGGTGGTGGTTGTGTACCATTGGATCAGACTGATGTATGGCTGACCCTGCAGCGGGTTTTCAGAGGCAGTACATCACACAGAAGGAGACAGCCCATCTTTTTCCTGGGGAGCAGCTGGTGGATTTTAACCACTGCCAGTGTAACTCCTAAGTACCAAGCACCAGAGCTTCCTAGAATGTGGTAGCAGTATTAAAAAGTAGAATCTTCTGCTGAATGAAAGAAGAAATTAAAAAAAGGAAAAAGCACTTACCTTATTTACTTTCTCTGCACTACTACCTACGACGACAGAGCAGCCACATGTCTGCAGGTGTGAACTGATTGCACTGTAAGTTGAAAAAAAGAAAAAGATTAAAAACACTGCCTATGGAACAAATTCACAGAAATAAGCGCAAAAGTTCCAAAGAACCAAGAACAGTTTTCCACGATACAATCGAAGGCTCCAAGGATCTCACAGATTCCTTTATCAGTTTGACCTGACAGCGTGACCTCTGGGGTTTGGTTACACTTGAGGCTACTATAGGCATCCTCTCTTCTGAACCTTAAGTTCAAACAAGCTGGCAAAATAGTTCCCTTTTACAACTAAGGAAACCCAGGGGGAGAGGTTAGCAACTTATTAAATGAGATTTGATTAAAAAAAAAGAAAATAAAATTTTTTTACTTAAAAAAACCCAAAAAATGTTTAATGCATGGCTACCATGGAGTAGAACTAGGACTAAAGTAGTTCTCTTCCAAGTCATTAAGGTTGATACGGGTTGTAACACTCATGGATTTCATCATAAAGCTAAAGGAAAAGGCTGAGAACATGAAAGCAAATTCACTAGCTTCTCATCCCTCATTTTTAATAATAAAATTTCACAGTAATCTGCAAAGTCAAAGAACCGCCCTTATAGGGGGTGGGCTAACAACACATGTAGATCTTCCCTATGTCTAAGTAACTTAAACTCACAAACAATGAAATGTAATTTGAAAGGATTCTTAGTTTTGGGTTCAGTGAGAGCTAAAACAGAAAACCAGCACCAAACAAGGGGCCAAAACTTTCAGGCTGGGTAGTATGGAAATATGGCTTCTGTAAGTAGAGCACCAAATTCACCATAAACATGCAGAGAGAGGGAAAAAAACCCCAGAACTTGGCAACAGTTCAAATACGCAGATAACTCAGAATAATCTGGGTTATATTTTCTTCTGGTATATCTCCTGTCTTCTAAATCCTATCATACATGAGTCTAAGATTAGTATCTCTTTCACTTAGTTTTTATGAGGAAACCACCGCACCCCCCCAAGACCTCTTACTTGAGAAGGAAGCCTTCATGACAGCTGTCACCAATATCATCGTCGTTCAGCACTGTGTCAGCTATCTGAAACACACCAGGAAGGCAATTAGCCTGGCGAAATCATAATGCTGAAACAACACTTTCACGCTTTCTGAAGTCTAGGCTCAACATTACACACTGCCCTCATTTCTGAGCATCAAAAGACCCCATAAAACTATACGTGTGTATCATCAAGTCCTGTCAGAAGCACAAACGTGGAAGCTGGTCAGGCGGGTCAAGCAACACTTTTTACAAGAACAACTTCTCGTCAGAACCAGGAGACAAGTTTTAACAACAAAATCAGGAGTGCAACCAGAGGCGCTTCCTACAGGCATCTCTGGGCACACGTAATCCTTGATTTAAAGTGTCCTTACATTATGTTTAT